AAGTCATTCTGACTTGTTTGTGCTCTTAGATTTTACATAAAATAAAATAAAATTTCATTTACTGTAACGTAAATATAAATACACAACTAAATAAAACAATGGAAGTAAAATAAAAACTCATACCACTTTCTTTTCACTTTAACTAATAAAATAAAAGTACTTGGTAGATGCTGCATTAAATTTTACTAATGCCATGGTCACAATGGCAAAGGTACACAGTACTTCTTTTAACACTATTATCATTATTCTTATCACGAAATCCCAAAATACTAACGGTCAATATTCCGTTAGTTGGGAGGTAGTTCTGTGAGAATGCAAAGTGCGTGACTAACTTTAAAGGGCAAAGAGTTCAAAACTAATTACCTGATTAATTTCTAAGGCTAAAGTACTGGTTCAATACATCTAAAAAACATAAACCCATTCCCTAACAACATATGAAAGTCACTAGATCATTTAATGTGCTTTTATTAGTAATCAATGCATAGTATTCACTTCATATTAATGATCCTCAGTATTATTACAGCTCTTACTGCCATGTTCTTTTCAACACTGTTCATAAAACCAATATAAAGTGGTTTGTTTATATCTTAATCATCTATTAAACTAAAGTGACTGCAGAAAGACTCTGATCGGGCTGACACAATACAGGAAAAAGGTTCTCTGGATAAAAACTACCATCAATTTTAAGCTCCCAACTATTCCACATAATACTTTTGTACTCATAAGTATGAACTAATCTTCATGTCATAAGGAAATGACATATCAATTGATCACTTTTTACTACTCAAAATTCTGAAAATATCCTTACACACTATAAAACACTTGGGAGAACATGGGGAGTCACTTATCAAAAAGGTACATCTCTGACTTTTGTTAGTCTGACTCATCAATGTCTTTCTATCTTTATTTCTTTTATAACATGTTTTGTCTTCAGTAACTAGCAGATCCCTTTAGCCAACATCATGTTTGAAAAAATATAAAGAAAAAATATGTTTTCACGATAACTCCTTTTTTAAAAACTATACACTTAATCCCCTTGCTGTGAAGAAACTAGAAGCAGACAGACAAAAGAAATAAATAAAAACTTTATTACCTGACATAAACCTCTTTCCATCCCATCATACCTAACACCATTTTTTTTTCATTCTCTGAATTTCCTTTTTATCACATAAACTTCATATCATCATATCTCCTGCAGAAAAAAAAATCCTTTTTTTATCCTTGGCATTTACTTTTTACCATAAACTTGATCACTTCTAAAACTGAAATTTTAAAAAGTGACCTTTTGCTGACATCACTCCCCCCTGACCCCTTGTTTGTCTGGGTAAGTTTGACCATTTGCAACTGCACTTTGTCATTCATGTCATGATTATAGTCTAGCCTGACAAAATTTGGGAATACTTAGATGATCACTGGTATACAAACACACCTTTATCAATACAGTACTCTCCTGTCATTTAGTACTGATGTGAACCATAAGCTAAACAATGGATATGGCTGACCATTAATTCTTGAAAGGCAAACAGCAAAATAAAGCTAGTGTTTTTCTTTGGCTTCTTTAAAAATAAGCATTACAGTTCTGAGACTTAGTTTGTGTCAAACAGATAAAGAATACAATACAAAGGAGCTTTGTACAACATTTTTTACCTCTCTAAAATGAGGGTTTTAGCAGTATTGATAGATTATCATAAACTGGCAAGGAAGCATGTTATTTGACAAAACCTATACCTATCTCAAAGTCCACCTTGACCTGTACAGGAGCCATTCAGATACTTCTTACGTGAGATTATTAAACAGAAACTAATATATATATAAACAAAAATCCAGAATTTAATAAAAGTAAAAATCTTCATATAATCCATCTTGTCAGATTCCACAGCAAAGGGTTAAGACTCAAAAAATATTACCTATGATTTGCAGGAGGAAGGGAGGTTACAATATCAGTCCTTTCCATTTTTTGTTTTCTTTTTTATATTAAATTCTAAGGAATGGAAAATAGCTCACAAGGTACAATATGTGGTTAAGATTAACCGTTAGCTCTAGCTATACTTTCAAATATTTTTTTTTTAAGTCATGTTTACTAAAACTTACAAACCTAACAATAAGCAATTAGTCTCCAAAACTAGCTTCCTATCTCTCATATCCATTGTACAGATTCACATTGTCTGGTTCCTCCTCAAAAACTTGTATTACTTGCCCAATACCTTTTGTCATCCCTTGTCTAAATAATAATCTTGCTCCATTCTGGACAACCTCAGGCTGTCGAAGGAAGCGGAAAATGACAGAACCACGGTCGTTGGTGTGTAACCCTCGGGAACCAAGAATGCCTTCAACAACAGCTGTCTGTTGTACATTACCAATGTGTACTGTTGCCTGGAATCCACGACATATGCTTGTTGAATGATGAAGTACTTGGGTTCTTGCCTGAAAGAAAGAAAGAAAAAAAATTAAATCAGTTTGTTTTAGGCTTTTGCAAACATTAGACATATGTTTCTTGTTGTCTTTCTCCTTTTTTTAAACAATAAATGTACTGCAGGCATCTACTTTTCAATATGCCTTTCTTTCAGTTTATATTCTTTGTTTTGTGTATCTCATTCTCCACCTCTGACAGAACTATTTACTGTATTTTAGTACTTATTTCTATACATACAGTATTTTGTGCTTTAAAAATGAAATAGTAATAAAAGCAAAAATAATTTCAAATTGTTACCTGGAAATAAAAGCATGCTCTTGGTCTTGCTTCAATGCTCATTAATTTCATGCCTTTCCGTAAGCTTAGATCTTGTCCTTTAATAGAGAGAGAGGCCGACTGTCCTGCGCAAACTACCCTGCACGGCACTTTGTTTCGGTGAATTGACCCAACAGTAACAGGTACGAAGGTACAATTATCCATTGGTCCTGAAATTGGAAGAAATATCATTAACCAACAAAATTTATATGTGATTTCTTAAAACATTTATTTCAAAGCTTACAGTTCACCCCAATTTCTAAGATGAGAATGAACTTGATAACACTACAGTTCACCAGCTGATACACCATCTTCAAAGAGTAATCATATTAAAAGAAAAAAAGTCAAATGAAGCTTACCTAAAAGGAGTGTTGTTCCTTGCATAATAACTCCCTTAGTCAGCAGCCCTCCGACAATCACACTGTGGTCTACATGGAAAACCTCATCAATCTGGAACTCAGCTGGTTCCTTTGGAAAATGAAGAAAAATTATCAGTCTGTCAGGGGATATTTTACTTCAGTCTATAGAATACACAATCAAATCAAAATATAATCAAGAGAAACATGTCAAAATATAATGAAAATAAAACAGAATATAATCAAAATATAAATTTTCATACTTTTTTTTTTCTTACAGTTCTAGAATACATAAACCCTTGAGGCATCTACAAGAGCAATCTTGATATAAACTATATTACTACATGAAAACATACTGTAGTTACCTGCTCCAGTTTCTCCCGCTCTTTGTTGCTCATCCTTGGTGGTAAAACAAAAAGGAATTTCTTGAGGAGAGTCAGCCCATCGCCAGTGACACTTGAGGCACAGAAAATAGGGACCACATTGTTGTCTAGCTGGTTACTTCCAGCTGTTATTGCATCATCTTCATTTTGAATTAACAGAGGCACCTGCATTAGCAAAAAGATAATTTTTAGATGAAACACACCAATTTTTTTTTTTTTATTTATATACTTATCAGAAATCAAAAGTGCAAATCTATTAAAATAATAATAATAATAAATGAATAGATAAATAAAAAATTAATACTCAAATATTTTTTTTTAAAGTCATGTTTACTAAAACTTCAAACACAATAAAGCAATTAGTCTCCAAAACGAGCTTCCTATCTCTCATATCCATTGTACAGATTCACATTGTCTGGTTCCTCCTCAAAAACTTGTATTACTTGCCAATACCTTTTGTCATCCCTTGTCTAAATAATAATCTTGCTCCATTCTGGACAACCTCAGGCTGTCGAAGGAAGCGGAAAATGACAGAACCACGGTCGTTGGTGTGTAACCCTCGGGAACCAAGAATGCCTTCAACAACAGCTGTCTGTTGTACATTACCAATGTGTACTGTTGCCTGGAATCCACGACATATGCTTGTTGAATGATGAAGTACTTGGGTTCTTGCCTGAAAGAAAAAAAGTCAAATGAAGCTTACCTAAAAGGAGTGTTGTCCCTTGCATAATAACTCCCTTAGTCAGCAGCCCTCCGACAATCACACTGTGGTCTACATGGAAAACCTCATCAATCTGGAACTCAGCTGGTTCCTTTGGAAAATGAAGAAAAATTATCAGTCTGTCAGGGGATATTTTACATCAATCTATATAATACACAATCAAATCAAAATATAATCAAGAGAAACATGTCAAAATATAATGAAAATAAAACAGAATATAATCAAAATATAAATTTTCATACTTTTTTTTTTCTTACAGTTCTAGAATACATAAACCCTTGAGGCATCTACAAGAGCAATCTTGATATAAACTATATTACTACATGAAAACATACTGTAGTTACCTGCTCCAGTTTCTCCCGCTCTTTGTTGCTCATCCTTGGTGGTAAAACAAAAAGGAATTTCTTGAGGAGAGTCAGCCCATCGCCAGTGACACTTGAGGCACAGAAAATAGGGACCACATTGTTGTCTAGCTGGTTACTTCCAGCTGTTATTGCATCATCTTCATTTTGAATTAACAGAGGCACCTGCATTAGCAAAAAGATAATTTTTAGATGAAACACACCAATTTTTTTTTTTTTATTTATATACTTATCAGAAATCAAAAGTGCAAATCTATTAAAATAATAATAATAATAAATGAATAGATAAATAAAAAATTAATACTCAAATATTTTACAGGGATTTTTGAGCTCTTAAATCCACAAACCAACAGAACTCAACACGCAAGCTCACCCGTTTGTATCCCGGCTGAGTTAAAGTCTGCTTGAGATCATTGATGGTTCTCTGGATCTGTTGTGGCGTGGCCATGTCGGTCTTGGTTATCACAATGACAATGGGAACATCCAAAGCACGAGCAAGACTCAAGTGCTCCTCTGTCATGGGAGCCATTCCAGAGAAAGCACTGAAAGCATCACAATACCAAGAGAGAGAGAGAGAGAGAGAGAGAGAGAGAGAGAGAGAGAGAGAGAGAGAGAGAGAGAGAGAGAGAGAGAGAGAGAGAGAGAGAGAGAGAGAGAGAGAGAGAGAGAGAGAGAGAGAGAGAGAGAGAGAGAGAGAGAGAGAGAGAGAGAGAGAGAGAGAGAGAGAGAGAGAGAGAGAGAGAGAGAGAGAGAGAGAGAGAGAGAGAGAGAGAGAGAGAGAGAGAGAGAGAGAGAGAGAGAGAGAGAGAGAGAGAGAGAGAGAGAGAGAGAGAGAGAGAGAGAGAGAGAGAGAGAGAGAGAGAGAGAGAGAGAGAGAGAGAGAGAGAGAGAGAGAGAGAGAGAGAGAGAGAGAGAGAGAGAGAGAGAGAGAGAGAGAGAGAGAGAGAGAGAGAGAGAGAGAGAGAGAGAGAGAGAGAGAGAGAGAGAGAGAGAGAGAGAGAGAGAGAGAGAGAGAGAGAGAGAGAGAGAGAGAGAGAGAGAGAGAGAGAGAGAGAGAGAGAGAGAGAGAGAGAGAGAGAGAGAGAGAGAGAGAGAGAGAGAGAGAGAGAGAGAGAGAGAGAGAGAGAGAGAGAGAGAGAGAGAGAGAGAGAGAGAGAGAGAGAGAGAGAGAGAGAGAGAGAGAGAGAGAGAGAGAGAGAGAGAGAGAGAGAGAGAGAGAGAGAGAGAGAGAGAGAGAGAGAGAGAGAGAGAGAGAGAGAGAGAGAGAGAGAGAGAGAGAGAGAGAGAGAGAGAGAGAGAGAGAGAGAGAGAGAGAGAGAGAGAGAGAGAGAGAGAGAGAGAGAGAGAGAGAGAGAGAGAGAGAGAGAGAGAGAGAGAGAGAGAGAGAGAGAGAGAGAGAGAGAGAGAGAGAGAGAGAGAGAGAGAGAGAGAGAGAGAGAGAGAGAGAGAGAGAGAGAGAGAGAGAGAGAGAGAGAGAGAGAGAGAGAGAGAGAGAGAGAGAGAGAGAGAGAGAGAGAGAGAGAGAGAGAGAGAGAGAGAGAGAGAGAGAGAGAGAGAGAGAGAGAGAGAGAGAGAGAGAGAGAGAGAGAGAGAGAGAGAGAGAGAGAGAGAGAGAGAGAGAGAGAGAGAGAGAGAGAGAGAGAGAGAGAGAGAGAGAGAGAGAGAGAGAGAGAGAGAGAGAGAGAGAGAGAGAGAGAGAGAGAGAGAGAGAGAGAGAGAGAGAGAGAGAGAGAGAGAGAGAGAGAGAGAGAGAGAGAGAGAGAGAGAGAGAGAGAGAGAGAGAGAGAGAGAGAGAGAGAGAGAGAGAGAGAGAGAGAGAGAGAGAGAGAGAGAGAGAGAGAGAGAGAGAGAGAGAGAGAGAGAGAGAGAGAGAGAGAGAGAGAGAGAGAGAGAGAGAGAGAGAGAGAGAGAGAGAGAGAGAGAGAGAGAGAGAGAGAGAGAGAGAGAGAGAGAGAGAGAGAGAGAGAGAGAGAGAGAGAGAGAGAGAGAGAGAGAGAGAGAGAGAGAGAGAGAGAGAGAGAGAGAGAGAGAGAGAGAGAGAGAGAGAGAGAGAGAGAGAGAGAGAGAGAGAGAGAGAGAGAGAGAGAGAGAGAGAGAGAGAGAGAGAGAGAGAGAGAGAGAGAGAGAGAGAGAGAGAGAGAGAGAGAGAGAGAGAGAGAGAGAGAGAGAGAGAGAGAGAGAGAGAGAGAGAGAGAGAGAGAGAGAGAGAGAGAGAGAGAGAGAGAGAGAGAGAGAGAGAGAGAGAGAGAGAGAGAGAGAGAGAGAGAGAGAGAGAGAGAGAGAGAGAGAGAGAGAGAGAGAGAGAGAGAGAGAGAGAGAGAGAGAGAGAGAGAGAGAGAGAGAGAGAGAGAGAGAGAGAGAGAGAGAGAGAGAGAGAGAGAGAGAGAGAGAGAGAGAGAGAGAGAGAGAGAGAGAGAGAGAGAGAGAGAGAGAGAGAGAGAGAGAGAGAGAGAGAGAGAGAGAGAGAGAGAGAGAGAGAGAGAGAGAGAGAGAGAGAGAGAGAGAGAGAGAGAGAGAGAGAGAGAGAGAGAGAGAGAGAGAGAGAGAGAGAGAGAGAGAGAGAGAGAGAGAGAGAGAGAGAGAGAGAGAGAGAGAGAGAGAGAGAGAGAGAGAGAGAGAGAGAGAGAGAGAGAGAGAGAGAGAGAGAGAGAGAGAGAGAGAGAGAGAGAGAGAGAGAGAGAGAGAGAGAGAGAGAGAGAGAGAGAGAGAGAGAGAGAGAGAGAGAGAGAGAGAGAGAGAGAGAGAGAGAGAGAGAGAGAGAGAGAGAGAGAGAGAGAGAGAGAGAGAGAGAGAGAGAGAGAGAGAGAGAGAGAGAGAGAGAGAGAGAGAGAGAGAGAGAGAGAGAGAGAGAGAGAGAGAGAGAGAGAGAGAGAGAGAGAGAGAGAGAGAGAGAGAGAGAGAGAGAGAGAGAGAGAGAGAGAGAGAGAGAGAGAGAGAGAGAGAGAGAGAG